GACACAGAGCCCAGAGCTCATACTGCACAGACACAGAGCCCAGAGCCAGACTGTACAGACACAGAGCCCAGAGCTCATACTGCACAGACACAGAGGCCTGAGCCCAGACTGCAAAGACACAGAGCCCCAAGCTCAGACTGCACTGACACAGGGAGAGTCACCTGGCAGCCTTGAACACTAATTCTTTCAATCAGGACTGAGTCCTGGATTTTACCTTGTGCGTTTTTCAGCTTCTCCAGTATTGCCTGCTTTTCAATCATCTCCTCTGCTGCACTGGTCTCTGAAGAGGACAGCTTGAGCATCTCTTCTCTCTGCTTTGTGATCTGCTCCCTCACTTCTTCTCGGTCTTTCCTGTCCTGTTCCCTTTCTTTACCCTCTGCGTCACACATGATTTCCACAATTTTAGTGACTCCAAGAAACCCCAATACGCCCCCTCCTCCTTTCCTCTTCTGTCGTCTTGTTTTCGGTTCTGGACACAGAAGCTCTGTCAGCGGGTCACGTGAATCATCATCAATATCATCCTTGATGTGTTTTTCTTCCAGTGTTTTAGCTTTCTTTTTGGAAGAAGCCAGTTCCTCTTCGACCTTCTTTCTTTCCTCTTCGTATTTCCCCTTTTTCTCTTCTATCAGTTTTTTCTGCTCTGCGGCCATTTTGGCTTTCTGCTCCAGGCTTTGTTTCTCAGAGATCACCTCCTGCTTCTTCTTTTTCGCTGTACTGATGTTTTTATTGACGTCCATGATAATCTTTTGATATCTAAATGAAAAGAACAGTAAAGTAATGAAGATCTATACATTATGATCACTGTGGGAGTGAAATTCCCCAGAGGCGTTGAGCCTCCCAGCCCTTAGGGGGCAGTATAACCCACCAGTTTACCCCTGTCTTTGTGTGTTAACCTTCAATCAAAACAGTGGCCAACACGAGTCACTACAATTCAGCTCATGGACTGCTCAAAATGACAACACCTGACCATTTGCCATGGTAAGTATGTGTAGTAAAGTGATATATATATATATCAATGTATAAGTATTATTTGGAATTACAAGTAATAGTCCATCAGGTGGCCCTACCCCATTTCCCGAAGTTGTTTGGGTCACCCGGCTGTTCTAGTTTTGTGCGCCAGAAGGCGAGGGAGAAAACCAGGAAGAACTGGGGAGCTGGAGGACAGCTGAGGGGAGCTGGCGCGAGAGAGAGATGTCGGATCGGTAGGGTAATGACCTGTACGACCAAACTTTACTTGAATATATATAGTTCATCGTTCCACAGCCACCT